CGCTAGCCGCGGGCCAGGCGCGGCGGCGGGCGGCCGATCTCCACCGTGACGTTGGTGTAGAGGGGCTGGCGCGACACCTCCACCACGCGGTACTGCAGCGAGCTGATGCCGTCCCGCTTCATGGTCATTTTGGTGTTCTGGATCTTGGTGAACCTGGCGGGCAGAGCAGCGGCGTGAGGCGGGACGGAGCGGCGCCCGCCGTGGGGCTGGCGCCCACGGCAGAGCCGCAGTGGGGCAGGTGACCCCAGGGGACTGCCCACGGAGGGGCCCGTGTCCCGTCCCCCCGCTCACCGCTGCGGGTTGGGCTCGTTGTGTTTGTCGCGCTCGTGCTTGATCATGCGGTACCTCCCGATGCGGATGTCCGGCCGCGACACCTTCATGCCGTTCAGGGAGATCCTGCGGCAGGAGCGGAGCGGGAGCTGCAGCGCAGCCGCGGGCACCGGGGCAGGTCCCCGGCGCAGGGACACGCGGGGACCGCGCCGGTCTCCCCGCTCCCCTGCGAGCAGGACAAGGGCAGGCCCGGCGGCTGCCCGCACCCAGAACAAACCCACCGCTGCGGCCATTCCCCAGCACCGGGGCCCTTTGTGCCGCGCGGCTCCAGCCTCATCGCGCTTTCCGTCTCAACAGCCAGCAGGTGGGGAAAGATTTCCTTCCCCCAGAACAGTTCATTTAACGCTGAGAGGCCAAGCGGGAACAGGAAGGCAGGAGCGCTCCGAGCTCGGGAACAGGACCCGCTGCTCTGGGCCTGAGCGCACTGCAGGGCTGTGGGGCCGGGCCCTCCTCGYGGGGTCGGGGCTGCCACAAGGTCTCCAGCGCTGTCACAGGCACCCGTGTCGTGCAGGGAGCCCCGGAGCAGCGCGCGGCAGCTGAGGGCCCCGCGACGGCCCCGTGAGCCCCAGGGTGCTTGGGGCCGCCACTGCCGCGCGGCTCCGCGGCCGGCCGGAGCGCTGGGAACAGAGCCCCGCAGCTCCCGCGCCGGAGCCACGGAGCGGCCGGGCGCGGGATGTGCTGCAGCCTGCCGGCCACTGCAGGAAATGCCTGCTCCGGCGCCACAGACGCTCAGGAGGCTCCGTCGGGATCCCCGCGCGGAGCAGAGCCCATGGATACGCATTCCTGCTGGCCAGCCCAGGCGGACACGGTGCCAGCGGCACGAGGGGGCTGAGCCCCATTGCGCCGGGCTGCTGCCCCACAAGGGACACGCTCTGCTCTCCGGTGCCTTGGACCGGCTCTATGGCCCGAGCGTGGCGGTCACCAGCACTGCGGGCTTGGCCCGCACGGCTTCCCAGGGGCTGCCACCACGTCCCTGCCATCCCGGCGGCTCCAGGGCTGGTGACGGTGCCTGCTGGCACTCGCAGGGAGCAGAGCGCCCCAGCAAGCCCCACACTCCAACTCCAAGCCCTGGGGTGATGCTGGAGAGAGGGGGCGGCACCCACCGGTTAAAGATGTCATCGTCCTCTCCGCCCCAGCCCCAGTACTCGTTGGGAAAGCCATTGATCTTCAGGAACTGGGACTTGCTCAGCCCGGAGACACCCCCGAAGTAGCCAGCATAGGGCAACCTGCAGGAGAAAAGAGGTCAGGAGCAGGTAGGGGAGCTTCTGCAGACCAGGAACAACCACCAGCCCTTCCCTGCTGGCTCTCCCACCCACACTCCGTGTCCTCTGCCATCTCTTGCCTGCGTTTCAAGTCGCTGACCCCAGCTCTTGAGGCAGCAAGAGGCAGCCCGTGTTGGCCACGAGGAAGAGCCGCAGCCCCGCAGGCACCCACCTGAACCCAAACTTGTCCATGCCGACGGCAAAGTGCCGCGGCTGCTCGTAGCAGCGGTACAGGTTGCGGTCGTCCATGGGGATGAGGTCCACGTCGCTGAAGATGAAGCAGTCGTACTCCTCATCGTCCTTGAGCGCCTCCAGGAAGCCCACGTTGAGCAGCTTGGCCCGGTTGAAGGTGTCCTCGCCAAACTGCAGGGGAAGCAGCTGGCAGCAGAGCCCAGCAAGGCCCGCGAGCCCGGCCTAGCCCCGGCCCGGCCCCGCTCACCTGGTTGATGATATAGATGCCATAGGCCACCTTCTGGCGGCGCAGGATGGGGTGCAGGTAGTGCAGCCAGTACTTGAGGTGGTGCTCGCGGTGGCGGAAGGGGATGAGGATGGCCACCTTCTGGCGGGGCACGCAGTCCTGCGGGCTGTACTTGCCGCCGCGGCGCACGTCGGGGTTCTCCCGCTGCACCCGCTCCATGCTCATGGGCGAGCTGAACTCAATGAGCAGCCGCCCCACTGCAGGACGAGGGCAGGGTGAAGGCGGCGGCGCAGCAAGGACTGTGGTCCTGGGCACCCGCCGCTTCCAGACAGGCCAGTAAAGCCCAAACCAACCCCGCTGGGGGCACCTGAACCGCTAAGGAAGGGGGGACACCCAAAACCCTCCCAGACAAAGGCACAGAGCCTGGGCAAGCAAACAAAACCTGAATAAACCAGGTTTTCTGGTACCAGTTCTCAGCCTGGTTTTCTCTGATGCTCCCCACACTGCTCAGCCCTTCCAGACCAKCAGGAAGACCATGCCAAGGGGGAAACGGGACACATGGCAGCACCCCACTCGGTGCCCCGTTCAAAGCCAGAGCCCAGCTCGAGCACCCTGCCCATCTCACCTAGGCCGGGAGGCACCTCCTGGCAGGGCTGCAAGGGCTTCTCCGTGCTGGAGTGGTTGGCGCCGGGCCGGGCGCTGGCGGAGGGCGGCTCGGCGCCGGCAGCCCCGTAGCTGGCGGCGGTGCCGTTGGGCCGCGACGAGTTGGAGAAGGGGTGCGCGCGGGAGCCGTTCCGCGCGTTGAAGCGGCTGAAGAAGTCCAGGTGCTGCGCGTAGACGTCGAAGTAGAGGATCATGATGATGACGAAGTGGAGCAGGCAGAGCAGCAGCACAGCCTTGCAAATCCTTTCCAGGGTCACCCCCAAGAGCAGCCTGGTCATCTTCTGGGCACGGGCAGGCGGACATGTGCGCTCAGCAGGGCAGGGGGGCGGCTCCAGCCACGGGCACGGTCCTGCCGAGACAAGCCGCGCTCAGGGCTAGGCCGAGCTCATCCCCGCAGCTCCGGCCCGGTGGGAGCCCACGGCTGCACTGCTCCCCTGGCCCTCGCGCACCCGCAGCGCCCGCTCCGTGCCGGGAACACGGGCCCTGCTCCCAGGAAGGCTCCCTGCTGTGTGCCCAGGGAGGGCAGGGGCACCACGGCTGCAAACAGTGTCCCGAGCCTCTGCGGCACCAGGGCTGCCGAGCTTCACAGTCGTATTGTTCATGGGACTGCCCATCCCCAAGGCATCTAGCAGCACCACGCTGCCTGCCCGAGGTGCCTGGACGTCCTCCTCAAGAGCAGCTCAGGCAGAGCGTCGTGTTTCCACTCTATCTCAGAAGGAATCGAGCCTCATGGGRCCGGATTTCAGCCCCGACTCATCCTGGAGCAAAGTCTGCCCCTGCCCACAGCTCAGGCTGAGCCCCCCACCAGGAAAGAGGCAGGGACAACTCGGGACAGGCCGGCAGGAGGCYGGGAGCCTCCCGTGCCCGGGAGCCACGGCGGGAGCCCAGCCCTGGGGCTGCCCCGATTCCAGCGAGGCCGGTGTGTGACCAGTCCCCTTGGAGCCTGCGCTCCCCAGCGAGGTGGGAAGAGCCTCGCAAAGAGCCTCCAAGTGCCCTCGGGACCTGCAGCCCGGCTGCAGGATGGCATCCGCCGCCGCTCCCGGCGCTGCCCCGGGAATTGCAGGGAAAGGCGGCGGTGCCGGGGACACGGGGACAGGGCGCTCTGCCACGGCGCGGGGCCGGGCGGCTGCAGCAGGGCTGCCCCCAGCAGCCTGCAGCCTCGGGGCCGGGCCAGCCCCGCTGGATGCTGCCGGGAAGCAGGCGAGGGAGCCGAGGAGCTGGGAAGGGCTCCAGATCTGACACGGGGCCGCTCTCCCGCCCGTCCCGCACGGYGCCTGCCTTGTGGCTCCCGGGACCCTTCCCAGGCCCTGGATCAGACTCCCCGTGCTCCGGCACGAGGCGGCTGCATCCTGCCGGACCCTCCGCGGTGCCCAGGCCGCAGCCGGGAGCGGAGCCTCGATCCGGGCACCAGGCCTGCCGGAATCCCGCTCCTAACCGCAGCTTTGCACGAGGCCGAGATCCGCGGGTGCTCCACGCAGACACCCGGCCCCTGCTCTCAGCGCGGGACGGTGCCCGCTCCTCCGGCTGCATAAGCGGCCCCTGCGCTCCCGCCACCCCAAGGTGCGGCCGGCTGCAACCTCCGGCCTCCGACACGGAGCGGCCTCCCCTCTCCGCCCCGGAGGCCGCGGGTGCCGGAGGCGGCTCCGAGGCCAGGGGAGCAGCCGGAGCGGGGCCGCGGATCAGCTCGGGCGTGGAGGCCCGGCGCGGCCTTTGCCCCCGCGCGAGGCCGGGCGCAGCGCCGGGACAGGCCGGCGAGCCGGGAAACGGCACTAGGGACCGGGAGCCTGCGGCTCATCCCGAGGGCTCGTCCCGCCGGAGGCTCCGTGCCCGGAGCCCCCGCGGGGCAGGGAGGGTGCCCGGCCGGGCCGGAAACGCGGAAACTTGCTGGAAAGCCAGGAAGGGACCTGGAACAAAGTGCCCGCTCCGCACGGTGCCGCGCGGCTCCCGGGGCCGCTGCCCAACGGCCGGGGCCTCCCCGCTCCGCTCCGCGCCCCTGGGGCCCTCCCGCGGCCGCCGCCCGAGCGCCGGGCCGGGCTCGGCCCCCAGGCCCGAGGCCTCCG